GGCTCCTGTTCTATGCGTCCTGTAGATACATCTGTAAAATTTGATTGATTTCAAAACTATTTAATTTTTTTCTAGGGTTCACATTAGATACCCAAATCAAACATAAAAAAGTAGGTAAATCTAAAAACAATATATACACGTTTAATTAGATATACCTGGTTTTGTTCTTCTTTTTGAATATCTCATCAGATATATTACGAATCCTGTGAATACCACTAGAGAAATGCTGATGCAAACAAATATGATTATGTCCATGCTGCAAAATACAAAGATAAATATTGTAAAGATAATATACCGGTATTTCATTATGTGCACACATAATCTGTATTACTTAATACCAAATGAAATCACAATACTCACGACACTAACTCCCCTCCTTCTTTCATTTCTAAATTGATTTCTAAAGCAGTCTTGTTTACTTCTGGTTTATTGACTTCATTTGGTGGATTTTCTTGGTTTTCATTACTACATTATTACAACACAATTTGGATCTGAAGCAAAAAAAAAATCTGAAGCTAAAAGCTCATCCTCTGAGATTGTTCCTTGAATTCAATTCAAAATGAAATAATTATTAATACATATATTGGTTGTTATTCAAATGAAGAAAAGGAATATTACATATATAGGACATCCATGACTTGTATCTGGTTGGACAAGGCGTTTCGAAATTTTTTTTAATCAGCATTATAATTGTCTTGTATTCTTTCTCCTTGCAAATTGTATTCTGGACAATATCCTGTTCACAAAATGCATAAAAGGACTGATAGAAAGCCAATAACAGTCGTTTTTGTACTACAAAAAAAATTAAGTTCCCTTTGTCTTGTACTCTTTGTAACAGAATAAGTCAAATAACTTTTACCACTAAAATAAGTGCTTCCAATCATTAAAAGAATTTGCATTATTAACTAATACAATACTTATTAAGTAGAGATATGAAATGTTATATGTTTTAAGAAAATCTCAGTTAAAATCTTAATCGTTCTGCCCAGTACTTACCTAAGAGATATAAACCAGGTGCACACACTTCAATAGTTTGATTCATGAAGGCATTTGCCACACAGTGGTATCTAAAATTCTCTGGGCTGGTAGAATTCTGGGGGATATTTGAACAGTTTTTCTTCTTTGCGGCTTCCACCCATGACTTCTCTGAAGTTGGACATTTAGTAAAAGACAGAGTTATTTACGTTGCAGGACAATTCCGGAAAGCCATTGTCTGAAAAATGCATGAACACACTTCAGATGATATACATATAGATAGCACAGTTTGCTTTTAGATAATGTTGTTGTTTAACACCCCTCAAGACTTTTTTTTATCTAATATGATGATGCTGGAAACATCACCAATTATTGGTGGATGGTACTATTTTTTTTCCTATGTTCTGCACTCATGGCCATTGATCAGTGAGTGATCAGGTTCATGCCAAAATCTACGGCGACACATGCAAGACCTCGGTTGATACAGTCTCAATTAAGCGAAGGACTGGTCATCACGTCCCGCAATTGATTGAAAACCGCAACGTAAGGATCAGCCCTTTAATCCGCGACTCTAGAGGCTCTAGGCAATGCATCACGGATGCGACATATTTGTTCATTTACATTTATGTACATTAGTAAGAAGAACATAGAGACAACGAACAGCATTCAATCTCAAAGTCCATAAAACAATACAAACCAGGAGCAGAGCAAAAGTATATAAGTAAAATTTACTTAAAGGTTGCCTATTGTTCAGAAATCACAAGAATAACACACACTTCTTACCTGACTATCATAGTTAAAAAATAAGGGAACAATTTAACTATAAAAGTCCAGCAACACATGTGGCTTTTACATTTATTGTATAAAAATATGAATAAATAGATATGAAAAAAATTCTGTCAAGTGATAACTGAAAAAAAAATCAACACCATTTGCAGCACAAAGCCTTGACAATAACAAATATTCTATATATTATGATGAGAGATTTGTCTTTGTCATAATTTATGGGATAAATTCCATGTTTCACAATGTATGAGAGATGTTGTTTGATTGTCAATATCCGTGGGATTTATCCCGTTTGAACAAATTTGTGGGAAAAAAAATCCCACAGGAGAAACTATCCCATCTGACATTTTTTCTCCCATAGGAGAATGGTGGGATAGTTGGTGGGACTGAAAATCCCACCATTCTTCTATGGGATTCAGAGATTTAGGACTTCATATCTTTAGAAGTGGAGATGTTTGTTCGTTAAACATGAGACCATGGAATACTGCTAAGATATCCAACCAAGTTATCATAATTAGAAATTGTAGTAAAAAGTCTGGACTATATCATGTCCAGAGTTAAATGTCGTACTGTTTTACCAATTACATTTTTCTAAATTATTTTAGATAAGATTTGATTTCAAAGAATTTTGAAGATTTTAAAAATCATTCTAAAAAATTCTTGTATGGAGTACACTAATTAATGTACACTGTAAACTGATAATTGCCACCTTTTGAATAGCTAGAATGTCATCAAAACACACTATGCATCTTGGATATGTAGCAATTAAACAGTGCATTGTTTTGAGAAGTGCTCCAAATTACCAGTCCCTTTCTTCTAATAGAACATAAATTGAATTGGTCTAGCTTGACCTGACTATGAAAAATCCATTGTAACAAAGACATGCATGCAGAGCAAAATGTAAAGACTGTGTACCTTTTTTTTTTGAAAGTTTGTCAATGCATTTATTATTATTTTATTATATGGTATTTGATCAACAAAGCTTAGGATGCTTTATTATTATATATTTTGGGCAGGGGTTGAAGTGCCCGAAAAGTTCAACTGCTTTATGACATAAATTAAGTTATACAAAAAGTTTTATATTACATGTACTGACAATTTAAAAGTTTGAACTTCCTACATGTATGAATGTAAGTTATTGACAGTGTAATACATACAAGTACTTAAAATTGAATTTGAATTAACTACCATTTATCACATTTAGTTTTGAAGGGGTGTATGCATGCTTATGAATAAAAAATCGCAAACTTTTGTATTTTTATTTTTAAAAACCTCCAAAAGTAATGGTAATGGTAATGCATTACTTTACTAAGGTAATGGTAATGTAATGCATTACTGTAAGAAAATGAAGTAATGGTTATGGTAATTTAATGCCCAAATCGTTGTACATACAGACACTTTGGACACCAGTGAAAAAGATGTTACATTTTTTGTAAATATAGATTCAGAAAATTTTTTTCATTGAAAATTTTTGACCGTAGACACAGTTGTTTGAGCGTTTGCGTTTGCGGAGTAAGAAGCTCGGATAAGACTGTATAAACTGAGGTCCCATGACGCATAGGGTGTTAGCCTTTTCTAAATATAGCCTTATCTATGTGTTTTAAAATGTTCCATCTTTCATATCCTATCGTTAAGCTCAAAAGCGATTAAGATATAAGGATTTCTTTTTTCAGTAGAATATAGTTATATCAATAGAAAACCGAAAGAACATTTTAATATTTTGATAGTATATATATAAAAAAAGAAACAAAAACAAAATAAAATAGATAAGAAATGAAATTTATGACTATTAAACAGCAGTACATGATGAAGAAAAAATTATAATACTAATATAAGAACATAATATAAATATTCATAAGTTGCATGGAATAAAAAAAACTGTGATATGCAATTATGCAATCTTAATACTTTGGGTTCCCCCTTTTCTAAAATTAGACAAACTAAAATTTCTAAGCTCCTTAGGAAGAATATTTCTATAAAATTCTTTGATGTAAATCAGAACCTTTATGAAATAAATATATAATTTAATGATTGAATTTTTCCTCAACTAGTTTAGGGAAGCTGTTCAATTAAGAACATAACACATAATTGTAATGAAATGCAATGAACAAACAAAATATGCTTCTTAATTTTTAGAAATAAATTGATACACATTAAAGAAATTAAAGTAAGAAATAAAAAAAAAACTCACACATATCGTCTCACTAAGTAAAACGAGAAGAAATAAATCTAAGATCTCCATGCGTTTCGCGCGTTTTAAAAGATATTTATCGACTATAATGCATTTCATTAAATGCCAGATTAACCTATGCATAAAAAGGTAAAAGGAGTATCACGTGTACCGACATGATACCATGCAAAATATCAGTTATCTTTATTCTTCTCGACACATGTAATAGGTAGATGAAATCTAGTATATAATTTCTAGTTCTGCTTGTCAGTGATAAGAAGAGTTAATATAATGCGACTGTCCTCTTTCTTTCAGCATTTTTTTTTTCAATATAAGTTTTGATCTTATTTTAATTACATGGTACGTGTACAAAGTGAAATGTACTACAAACAATAATCAAGTTTTGATAGCTATAGTTTTTTCAAACAATACTTTAAAAAATTGTCAATTAATCTAGCTGTATACTTAGCTAGTTTTAATTGTAACGAGGGCGTCCCATTGTTTTCAAAATGCTATCAAGCTCTTTTTTTGGTAATATACCGAGTATTCCCTGAAAGCTTTATTAAATAAATCAATCTCTTTGTTTTAAAGACTTAAAGAGCCTTTTCCCTAAGTATATTATTTCGGGGGTCTGATACATCTTGAAATAAACATTTATATTCCCTGGCCCTCTCTTTTATTTTGGGGTAAAAATGTGGAGGAAACAAAAGAAACAAATAAGATTTTCACTACCAGGGTAATAATATTTATTCAGAACAAGTGCTTATTAATACATGTTGCCAATACAAAGATACATTAAGAGACCATTTTTTACGTAAATGCATATGGATATTTTCGAGACATGCTAAATATAATTGACTAGAGTTTTGGAGTGGACCCATCTTATTATGTTTGTGTTTATAATGCTTCAAATATAATGCCAGGATGATTGTGATAAAGTTAAATATTTTAATTACATTTAGCAGGAATAACCACTCTGCGTCAGTTTTTGTACATAATCACTTACTATACTGAGGCTCATAGTGTTCATTTCAATAAAGTTATTTACCAATAACATTTATGTTTTTTTTTTAAATAAGTATCATCGCTATGCGAAACTAAGAGAAATCGATTGAAACTGATAATGTAAAGTTTTTTTTCAGTAAAACTGAACTCCTGAAATCTTTTAAACATCTATTCCCTAAGAAGCTAATTCTTTTAGCCAGAGGCACATTTTAATGTAAGTTTGCTGAGGACACGATCTTTTTTTTCTAGACTTGAAATCCTGATGTCAAGATGGCGACACTTTAAGGTTTAGAATTTCATAAAGAAAAATTACCAATTTCAGAAGATAACCAATTTGCTTATTATTTGTTAAACTGACATCTCAAACTTAACTTATCTTATTTTACAATATTTCTATTTTAAATTTCCATTAGAGCTTTTGAAAGGAAGGGTTATTTATTAGAAACTGGACGGACAGAACGAAAGGAAATAACTTAACTTATCTTATTTTACAATATTTCTATTTTAAATTTCCATTGGAGCTTTTGAAAGGAAGGGTTATTTATTAGAAATTGGACGGACAGAAAGAAAGGAAATAACTTTTAATTGGAATAGCTAAACAGTTCCTAAAGATAACGACTAGGAGAGAGAGAGAGAGAGAGAGAGAGAGAGAGAGAGAGAGAGAGAGAGAGAATTGATTGTTTGTTGTTTATCGTCACTCATATACATAAATGCCGAGAGAGAGATGACATAATTTTGTTTATTGAACAAAATGTTATCCTTTTAATTGCATCAAATTGATTGGATTAAATTTTATTCAAGATATTTATATTGATATTAACTCACCGACAGCTTGGTCAAGTTTGGCAAAAGATATATAAAGGCTATTGAAATGATCATCGTAATACCCATCTTTGCCTGAATCAAAAGAAATATAAATAATTATGTGATTAATTTTCTTAATAAATATTTTTCCGGAGGAAATCTTCAACGAATATAACTTTCAACACAATAGTTTTTATTCCTACCTTTCAGAGATTTACAAACAAGCTGGGAATACCCATTGCTAAAAATATCAGCAACCCTAACATTTATCATTCAATGGCAAATTGCACGTTGGTATAATTTATTCATGTATTTAAGAGACGCTTTGCATTATTTTTTAATGATCTTTGTATAAATTTGTTTTAGAAATTTATCAAACAATTAAACAATTTTCTAAAAAGATACATTTGTAAATCATTATACCCGGTATATTAAAATAATTACATTTAAATTTTTTCAGATATATCCCATGTTATGATCCCATGATATTTTCCCATGTAGAAGTTTATTTCATCTTTTTAACAAATGTTTAGAAGATAAACTAACAAGACGTCCCCTTCCTTACTTCCCCGCAACTTAGAAAAAAAAGTAAGTACTATGTGAAAATCTAGCAACGTGAGGAAGGTAAAAGTAAGGAGAGCATGTCATGAGGTAACAATTCTGAGGGGCAAGAAAAGAATGATTGGTTGATTGATTTTATGTTGTTTAAGGTCCCTCGCGAGAATTTTTCACTCATTGGGTGATGCCACCACTTGGCGGTGGAGGGCTACAAAGAAACACGCACGCTAACTCTCGATTCCCGCCTACATTTTGGAACCATTTAATTCAATATAAATAGCAATTTGGCCATATAAACCTTTGTTTAATACAAAGAACAGTTCAATGGTAATTGATAAATCCTCTTAATACCAGCGCTAAAAAGTAAATTATCCATAATTCCAGCTCTTGAAAAAAGGCGGTAGACGGTATTTTCCACTGAAATCGGAGTTTTAAGCATCACCGTATTTTGAAATAGTCTTGGATATGATTAAATGTTCCTTATATCTTTTCTTATGTTTTAGGCAAATAAATGAAACATAAACATTAACAAAATATAATGTTTCAGCTGTATATCGCTTTGACATTGGTTGATTGATTGATTGTATATTGTTTAACGTCCCTCTTGAGAATTTTTCACTCATATGGAGACTTGACATTGGTTGAAAATAAGCTTTTTTATCGTTTTTTGTCAATAAACATATGTCCCCCCCCCCCGTGTCACACAAAAAGCTTTGGTATAAATGTGTTAAATACCATTCAATATTATCTGTAAAAAGGAATTTTTGTTACACGGGGGGGGGGGGGGGAAAGATGTTTTAAAAATATTTTCCGTTTTCCGTTGATTTCTATAGTGAAAAACACAAGTTTTACCAAAATTTTAGAGTTATCTCCCTTTGTTTTCCCAAATAAGTAATGTTTTATGAAAATCCATATAATAAGCTATAAAAAATATTAAAAATTCATCGAATATGTTCACTTTTGAAAATTGACTTGGAGGTAGGCGGGAGAACAATACTATCGTTCGCAGTTCTTTTGTCCTATGCTCGGCACTCAGGGCCTTTGAGCAGTGAGGGATCTTTTTCGTGCCAACACATACTGCGACACGAGGCCTCGGTTTATACGGTCTCATCAGAAGGAACGTTTCTTTCTTTTTCAAATATTTATCAAACATTCTGGTTGATTTCCTTGTTATTTACTGTACCTATATATGAATTTGTTCAATTTTTTTTTATGTATTTATACACTTACATATCTGCAAAATGCATCATTTTTTTTACTTTTGCAAATACTGAATACTATATATCTTAGCTTGTTTAACTAAACAATATAAATGTGTAATTTACATCTAGAAAGAGGGCGTAATTAGTTTTCAGAACTTGTTCCCAATCCCTTTGTAATTATATTACAATAAAAAATGCTCAAATCAAAAAGATCGGTCTCCTCACCCCACAGTGGGATTCGAACCCGAAAAGTAAGGATTGACTCCTTGCTTTGCGACTCTTAGAGACAAGAAAAGAAGCCGCATTGTCATTGTCATGTTTTTATATGCTTTGTTTTTCAATAATATTCTTGAAGAGTTCGCAACATTATGAGACATCCGCAATTTGAGAACAAGAAATTATAAAAACATAGAATTACTAAAGCGGACATTCTCATTTTATTCAACCAGATTTAACAAATTTTAGCATACTTATAGCAAGCCTTACTTCCGTTAATCAGAATATTACAATAAGTTTTCTGATAACACTTAGATGTGAACGATGTCCCATACTCTTTAAACTTTATCACAGCTGTATTTGATTTTGAAGCAGATGTTATAGATGTTACAAACACAGTGGTGTAAGACAGGTATGTCAGATAAAAAACCAACTCTGTAATCTGGAGTAGGCATTTAATGGAATGCAACTCGTGACTAACGATTTTTAAATTTTACCCTGCATGAGTGGTTCAAGTTGCATATAGGTATGGTTTAAAATTCAAAATAATCATTCAAAGGGCCTTGACAACGCTGCACTAGCGTTTTGTTTACGATTTTAAATTTCTGTTTTTTTTTTCGCAAAATATAGTTTCAGTGTAATAAAAACTTCCTTAAAATACTAGTATTAGCTGTTATTATTAGTGTATACATTCTACCGAGTATGTTTAATCTGCTAACTCTGTTTACATCACTGAGCATGGGCTGACAATAATGTGATGTTGCTTTAGAATTTCTTACATTTCTACCCTGAATAAACTGACTGATATTTAGCATTAACACGCAGCAAATTTTCCACTTTTATTTAATTACATAGATACATTTTGTATTGAAAATAGACGATATTTCATACAAACGCCTTCCGATATTAATAGTTTTAATTATTTTCAGATTAATAAAGAAGTGTCTAATAATGTTTTATACTAGTGTAAGAATGAATATTATGCCCTATAGAAACTTTTGTATTGTATGGTATTGTATAAAATGTTAAGACAAACCATGCTACATATGTATCTACCAAATTAAAACGAAGAAATTAAAAAAATTAGAATTATGATGTCTTTACTCTAAAGGGATGAATTTAAAATTTAAAGTACGTTTGCAATTTGGAGCAAGAATATGAAATATGCATTAAAATAAAATGAATAAATTAAAAAACAACAACAACAACAACAATTAAAGCATATAAAAACTTTAATTAAGGGAATCAATATTCAAACAATAGAATAATGAAATACAAAAAAAGGAGAAATGATACATGAACATTGAACAAATATATCACGA